GCGGGCTCAGGCAATCCACTCACCTCAGCCTCCCAAAGCGTGGGATTACAGGCTGAGCCACCGAGCCCGGCTCACATTTCTATTTATCCAGTCCAGCTTCAATGGGCAGCATGGTTGGTTCCATGTTTTTGCTATTGTGAATACAGCTGCAGGGTCATGCTTTTAACTACCATATTACCCTGCTTCTAGATCAGGAATTGGCAAACTATGGCCTGTAGATCAAATCCAATCTGTTTCTGCATAGTCTATGAGCTAAGAATAGTTTTTACATAATTTACATTGTTTAAAAAAACTTGAAGCAAAAATAATATTTTGTGACCAATGAAAATTACATAAAAATCAAGCTTCAATGTCCATAAATAAAGTTTGCCAGGATCAGAGCCATGTTCACTCATTATGCACCATCTATGGTGGCTTTCATGCTACAGTGGCAGAGCTGAGTGGTTACAACAGAGCCCATGGCCTGTGGAAGTATTCACTATCTGGCCCTTTGCAGAAACAGGTTTTTGTTTGTTTGTTTTTTACTCCTGCTAAATCCAGACACATTGAGAGTCAGACATGCCTCTCTGGTCAGCTGTGCAGACAGATGGGCACATGAGACCAGAGAAACCCTAGAGTGATGAGTGCCAGGTCAGCTCAGGAGCACCTCTTCCCATGACTACGGTGACAGCCTGGCCACACCTGAAACCAGAGAGACAGGCAGCACCAGGCACTTGGCTTTGGCCATTTCTTGGCAGTGAGGGCAGAGTTAACGGTAGGTCCGAAGGTCAATGAGGATGCTCGATAAACCATTGATTGATTTGGCCAACTTGCAGGCAATACGGATCTTGCAGTTGACTGGGCTGTGCAGATGATATAAAAATTACATTTAGCTTTGAGTCAGCAACCTCCTCTCCCACTGAGCCCTCTGTAGAGCAGCCAACAAGTTGCAGAATTGACAGATTTGAGTACCACTAGGGATGGTAATTGAGAAGAGACATAGCCAGGAGGCAGACAGCAGGACGGCAGAGAGATGTGCAAGCCAGGTGCCAGCACGATCCGGAAACTGCAGGAGGAGAAGGGCCTGGTTGAGCCTTCCCTCTGCCCAGCCAAGAAAATGAGTGGAAGCAGCCAGAGGGCCCCCTAAAGCCCAGAAACGGGGGCCTCATGAGAAGGGAAAGAGTTGATTGCATGACTGCCCCTGTGTTTCACGGGTCTCCTGCCTGATAGGTCACGGCGAAGGACACCCATGTCCCAGTAAGGACTAGGAAAAGGGGTCACCACACCAGTGCATACACAACGCCCCCTATGGGATTTCACTGGTACTCTTTGGCCATTGTTTTGCATGGCAGCTACGCTGGAAATGTGCAGCAATAGCAGGAAGGAGGAAGCAGAAAACCACATCCTTGGAAAACAAAGTGGTACAATAAACACAGCATACGCTTTGGGGCAGGATCCCCAGCTTCATTTCATCTCTGACACAACTATTCCCTGTGTGATTGTTATCTGAGCACTTAATTTTTCAGATTCTTGGTGAATTCCTTTGTAAAACTAACAAACGGAGTTAACTTGCCTGCTATGTATTTTGTATGAGTCTGGATTATATTTGCCTGCCTATAATAATAACAACAACAAAGCCACAAATAATAGTGGCTTAAACAAGTTAGCAATTTATTTTTCTCTTACCCAACAAGTCCAGAATTAGGCAGTTTAGGGTTGGTGCTGTAGTTCCACAGTCATATGGACACAAGTACAAGGTATCCTTTTTCTCTGATGGGCTTAGAGCGTACTTTATATCCTCAGGATGCCTCATGGTCACAGAGTGACTTCTATAGCTCTAACAAACATGTCTACACTTCTGACAGCAAGTGACTGGAAAGGGCAACGGATAAGTGACATAGCCTGTGTTAAGGTTATTTCCCAGAAATCCTACACAAAAACCTCAGCTACCGTCTTTACTTGCAAGACTGGTTGGGAAGTACAGATTTTAGCTACATTCTTGCCACACCAGATAATACAGGATTTCTGTTAGTGTGGAAGAAGGAGAGAACAGAAGGTGGAAAAAAACCTCTAATGCTGACCTCAAGGGTAAATGTTATTCCCAAATGACCTAATGTGTGTGAAAGGACCCTGTAAAGCTACAAAGGGTCATGCAAACAAAATCCACATTCCTTGGTTTCTCCTCAAGGCTCTTCTTGATTGGGCTCCATTCTACCTTCACCCAGTCCAGGTATCTCAAGTTTGGAGCTCCCACGGCATCCTATGAATATTCTATCCCACCACTTTGCCCATCCCCTTAAAATAACCAGTCTATGCCTTTGCCTCTTCTTCGAGACCTGCACAGAGCAATATAATAGTCACTAGCCACAAAAGGTGATGATGTCCTTGAAATGTGACTAGTCAAAATTCACATGTGCTGCTAAGTGTAAAATCAAACGTAAATCATAGCCAAAAGAAAACGAACATAAAATATCTCATTAACAACTTTCTATACTGCTTTCATGTTCAAATGGCAAAATTTTAGATTTACTGTGTTAAATAAAATATAGTATTAAAATTAAGACTGGGCATGGTGGCACATGCCTGTAATCCCAGCACTTGAGGAGGCTGAGGCATGAGGATTGTTTGAGCCCAGGAGTTTGAGATCAGACTAGGCAACATAGCAAGACCCTATCTCTACACAAAATTAAAAAACAAAAACAAAAACAAAAAAAAGCTTAGCCAGGCATAGTGGCGTGCGCCTGTAGTCCCCACTACATGGGAGGTTGAAGCTAGAGGATCACTTGACCCCCAGGAAGTCGTAGTTACAGTGAGCTATGATTGTGCCACTGCACTCCAGCCTGGGTGACAGATGGAGACCCTATCTCTAAAAAAAATAAAATTAAGGTCAACTTTTTCTGTTTTGTTTTTTTTTTTTTTTTTTTTTTTAGTAATAAAACGTAATAATATCAATTCTAAGTCTATTGAAAGGCATGTCAATTCATGTATGTTACATATTTACACATGACAGTGATAAATGCAGACTAATACAGGTGTGGCATTACAGTGAGTCAAATACCATGAGCAGCATTGCAATTGATAACATATTTTCTGAAATGGGGAGCATTTCTTGAACACGTCCCAAACAGATCAGAGTACCAGCTGTGATGATCATTCCTGGATTTACCCTGAAGAATTTGGAAGGCCCTGTCCTTTTATGATCATTGACCCTCTGGACGATTAGAGACACTGGGCCAGTTACTGTAGAGAAAGGCCCAACCAAGGAGGCTGCAGGGTGCTTTAATCCTCTCCAGCTTTTTTGGTTTTTCCCCCCTTAAGGACTGAGACACAGTGAATATT